CCCCCCAGCCCCCCAACTCCACAGGACAAGTGAGGCGACGACGGCTCACAAGCCCTGCCGCTGCTGTCCGATCCGACCTGCTGGGTCGGATCGCGCACGGTCCATTGACCCTCACAATGACCCCCCCCCCACCTGTCATCGATCAATTTGGAGGCTAAAGCGTAGCGTCCAGCTTATCTGATCGTCTGCACGGATCGTACGGATCGACGGTGATGCCTGAATCGTCACGATGCGCAAGCAAACACAGGTTGGAATTTGAATCGTGTTCGAACTCCTCGAGGGGTCACGATCGGCACGTGGTGCAAGCGGAGTGGGGAGATCGCAGATTGCATTGCTACTGAGGTCTCAACAGTGGTTTTGACAGTCCGTGTAAGAGAAAGGGGAAAGGGGATTAGGAAAAGAGGGCGATGCGTTGTCGATGAAATCTCATGCGCTGTCGATCCACGCTCTCGAAGGTACCCTAAAGATCTTGAGCACACCGCTTTTGAGATCGTCCAATCGAATGCTGACCTCTTCCGGACCTTTGAGCTTATCTTTAGCCGAGGCATTCGTCGTCGTCGTCGTCGCAGAGATTTGAATCACGGCTCTGATCTTGTTCTTCTTGTCGTCGGCACTGCCAGGATCGACAATGACTGCCAGAGCAGGATCTTGCGTCGTGCCGTACGTGACGTGGTAAGAGGCCAATCCGCGCTTACCCTTCAGATCCGCTCCCCACAACGCAATCACATCTCCTGCTCGCGGTGCGTCCGCACCTCGATCAAGCACCGTCGCGCCCGCGAGCGCCAGCAGCGAGATACCAAACGAGGAGCCGGCGGGTGGAAGAGCATCCGGAATGAGCTGGATCAGGGAATTGATGAAGCCTCGTGCGCCTGCGCGTGCAATGGGAGCCGCCTTGGCGTTGGCTGCTGCTGATGCGTGATGAGCTTCAAGAGGTCAATGGAGCCAGAGGAGGGCATGATGCATGAGCAATCCAGAACCGTACGCAGCACAACGCACCTACCGCCTTCACTCACCCAAAGCCGCACCAATCGTCGCGCTCCACTGCTGCATTTGTGCCGAGGTGGGGGGCGGAGGGGGAAAGTCGTGAGACTGATCCACTTGCGTCCTTTCCTCTTGCGCATCCTCATCGAACCATTCCAACCGTATCATCGTCCGACTCGCATCCTCGAATCTGACTTCTATCTGAGCCCTGTGCTCGCCTGCCTGCTCCGTCTGCAGCATCTGCACGCTCAGAGCCACATCCGGTCTTTGAGTGAGCGTGGGCGGAAGCTGAAGCGGATCCGCGCCTCGTCTCCACCATCTGCCATCGAGGAGCAGGTCCAGATCCCTCGAAGATCCTCGCACCACGCTGCTCGAAAGACGATCATGCTGAGGAGCTTGAGCAGGTCGGGATAAAGACACGGACTGGCGCGGCTCGTGCGGTGTTGGTGGGAGGGAAGAACGAGGAGGAGGAGGAAGACCAGCACTAGCGGCAGATCCAGAGATGGACGCGCCCACGGACGGAGATCGAGCATCCAGATCTTGCGCCTGCGGCGAAGAGCGCAGAGGCACTCCTGCATGATCGACCTCCGGCACATCTGCGTCTTGCGCTTCCCTCTCCTCCATCTCTTCCTCTGCTTCCGGCGTCGCTTCAGAGGTTGCGCGCGAATGCAGACCCGTAGGGACAGGTGGTCTGATGGACGCTCTCCTGCCGATAGAAGCGCCATCAGGAGCTGGCGATGGTGCGGTCCGACTAGGCGGAGCAGGACTAGGGGCAGTGCGTGAGGGAGGAGCTGGAGAGCGCGGATTGAGTGGGGGAGATGTAGGCACGGGAGGCGGCTTGGAGGCGGGTCGAGGAGGAGGACTGGCCAATCGAGAAGGTTCATCCACGTCTTGCTCGATCGTCTTGGAAGAGGTGGGCGGTGGAGCGAAACCCATGCCTGGTATAGCCACACCACCTCTAGGAATGCCGCTCGAGCGAGGAGCATCGATGTCTTCTGCTCGCTCTGCTTCGCTGACCTCTTCGGGTGGCGCAGGTGTTACCTCTGCCTCGCTAGCCTTTCTACGAGGTGGCATAGGAGCGCCCATGATGGGTGGCATTCCGCCCATTCTCTGTCCTCCAAGCGCAGCCATACGTCTAGCAATCGCTGCTCTCCTCTGCGCTTCCTGCTGTTCTTCCGAGAGTTCCTGCTGCTCCTCTTTAGGCTCATCCGCAGCTTCCTGCTCTTCGCTGCGCGTCTCGCCAAGCCCAGTCTGCGGTTCGTCATTCCCCTCATCGCCTTTCCGTTCCTCTTCTTCGTCCGACTCTTCTTGCACAATGCCATGTCTAGCCTTGGGCGCAGCGAGGGGCAAGGTCTGAGAAGGTGTCTTGTCGGAAGACAAGCTAGCAACCGTAGCGTCGAGCGACATGCGTCGTTCGTGTCCCTCTAGCTGTTCCAAACTGTCGCCGTCGCTCGGGGCAGCAGGAGGAGGGCTCCTGGGTATAGGAGGCACGATGGACGCTCGTTTGTCTTCCTTGTCCGCGCGCGAGGAGATGGAATCTTGACGCGTGGGAGGAGCGCGGGTAGGTGGAGGTGAGCGCGCCTGCGTTATCGGCTCCTCTACATCCTCGTTGGGCGGCGCAGCGCTTCGAGGTGGCGGAGGTAAGGACGACCGGGGGATTGGCGGACGCGTACTGGGTGGTCGACTGGACGATGATGGAGCAGGCAAGGGTTGGGATCCCGTCTCGGTGGGAACGGCCGCTTCCAAAGCCTCCTGATCATTTTGCTCTTGATGTCTGCTCCCGTTTGCTTCTTCACCTCTTGCCTCTTCCACATGCTCGCCCACATCTTCAGCGCGCTTCACTTCCTCTAGAGCCTGGACCGTATCGTCCGTCTCTCTTCGCTCAGCCACGAACCTATCCAGCGCCTCTGCTTGAGCTCTCAGCTCCATCTCGCTCTTCGTCGTACCGATCGTATCTGCCGATCCGCGTCTGCGCTCATCAGCTTCGGAACGAGGTACGCCCAGCAGATCAGCCCCACTCGGTGCCGTGCCGGAAAGCGGCGAGGCGCTGTACGCGTCTGCTCCTTCTGCTGCCTTGTCCGCACCCGACACGCTCGTATCTAATGCAGCGAGAGCATCCACATTCTCGGCGGCGAGATCTGAAGACGGCGCCGTAGAAGTAGCCGCTTCAGCGTCGGTGTCGGCGTCGACAGGTGACGCATCAGACGCGGGCTCGACAGTAGCATCGGCCGAACCAGCCTTGGCCTCCTTGACGGCAGATCTCTTTCGTCTTGGCGGGGCAGCTCTTCTGGGCACGGCCAAAGTCTTTGGAGGAGCAAGGTCTTCCTTATCGTCGTCGGGCCTGACTGTTGTATCGTCGGCAGTGATCGCTTCCTCCGTATGCGAAGCCACCTTCACACCTGCACTAGGGCTTACGATCGCGTCATCGACCTGATCAAACCGAGCCTCCTCTTGCGTATCGAGCGTCGCGCTTCTCGAAGGTGCCCGAGGTTTGGGGGCAGAAGGCGGCATGGGAGGCCCGCCAAACATGCCGCCGCCTCCTCCTCCTCCCGCTGCCGGTCCACCTCCCATGCGCCTACCACCTAGCTTGGCCAACCTCGCAGCGATTGCAGCTCTCCTTTGCGCTTCCTGCTCTTCTTCTGTCTTTTCCTCTTCCGCCAAAGCGTCATCATCAGCGTCACCCTCGGCATCTCCAAGCGTCGCGTCCGTCCCCCCTATTTCCTTTTTTGTTCCATCCTCGTCAGGTTGAGGCGGTGCAGTCATCGCTTCTCCCTCTTCGACTCCTTCAGAAAGAACAGCGCTCCCAGCGCTCCCTATCGTATCCACGCTCTCCTTTCTCTCCCGCGCTGGTTCGGGCGGTGCGAGGCCCATCCCTTGCATAGCAATGTTCCTCCTATCCGCAGCAAGCCGACCCGGTTTATTGGCTGGTGGAGGCGGAGCACCTCGATTCGCATTCGAATCATCTTCTCCCGCTCCCGCTCCTCCTCCGCGCTGCAAAGCGGCCATGCGTTCCTTGAGCGTCATCTTGATGCTAGCTTGAGCATCCGCAGCCGAGAATTGCGAGTGTTCGCCCGAACGACTCGTCTCTTCCTGACTGGCGGCATTGGTCGGAGTGGGAGAATGGGTGGGAGAAGTGGAAGCAGCGACGCCAGCGGTTGCGGCTGGTGAGGCAAGACTCTTTGCGGCCCCTTCTTTGGACGACGGCCCTAGTTGACTCTGTCCAGGAAGCAAGGGTTTGGGAGCACCGGGAGCAGCTGGAGGTCTCTTCCATCCACCAGGTTTCCCAGCAGGTCTAGGTAGAGGAGGCGCATTGTTCTCTGCAGGCTTATTGAAGGCCGCGATTCGAGCTGCTAATCCGCCGGGCTTGGGAGCAGGAGGTGGGGGAGACTTGCTAGGCTCGGGCGCCGAGGGACTCTTGAGAGATGGAGAGGCGATGGGGGCAGCTGCTGCTGCTGATGACGATGACGATGACGATGATGATGGTATTGCTGCTGGTGCTTTGGAATCTGATGAGGGACTGAGGGAAGAGGCAGCATCTGCAGGCTTTGCTGCATCTGAGGCAGCTGGGCCAGCGGTCGGTGCAGCTGCAGATTGCTCTGCTGTGCTCTTGTCTGGGTGATGGGCGGGAAGGTCGGGCTGAGGGATGGTCTGCGCCTCCTTCTCGGTCGCATGAAAATCCGCAGCTGCTGAATTGGGCGCTCGCGGTGCATGTGCTGCCTCTGCCTCATCCTCGCCTGTCACTGCTGCTGGAGGCGCTGGCACGACATTCCTAGCTGGGAAAGTACCGCTCTTGCTCCCATCCTCCGATTGACCGACCAACCAGACATCATCATCATCATCATCATCATCCTCCTCCTCCTCCTCCTCCTCCTCATCTTTATCCTCCTCATCGTTCTTGGGTGCCAAGCCAGTCACTTGAATGATGTCACCCTTGGAGAAGGACAGATCCTGCGCGCGGAAAGAAGAGAGATGGAGCGCATTGAGCGTCCAAAGGGGCGGTGCGAGTGCGCCGAGATGAATGCACACGGGCACATCCTGCTTGCTTGCTTGCTTGCTTGCTTGCCCCCCCCACCGAATCAGACTCGCCTGCTGGAACTCACATTCGCGTGCGGCGATCGATACTTTTTGATGGCCACATATCGACCGGGCTTGAATGATGCTGGCATGATGCGATGCGATGGGATGCGGGTGTGAGGGGGCAGGGCGGGGCGAGGCTGCACGGTGAGTGGAGAGGGACGATGGAGGGTCTGAGCAGACTCGTGTGTATGTGTGTGCGCGCGCGTGCTGTGCGAGTCGTGAGTGGTGAGTGGATGGCAGGAAGTGCCGAGTCGAGTTGAGTCGAGTTGAGTCGAGTTGTGTCGAGTCGAGCCTCGCTTTAGGAGCATTTACGTGATGGAGAGACACCAAAGAGGAGAGCACAGGTGTGACAAGCAGGGCAGCCGCTTGCGTTAGGTGTCCGTGCATGGCGTGGCAGCATGATATCAGGCAAGGCAGCACACGGCGTCATGCAGCAAGCAAGCAAGCGGCTTGCCAGCAGCTTGTCAGCCAGCCATGCAGCGTGCGGACGCCGCGTGTTGCGCGCGTGCGTGCGGGCGGGTGATGCTCTGCTGCTGGGAGGCACCACCCCCGCGCGCGCGGGGCACCTTTTGCCCAGCCACACTTGCACACGCACACGCACACGCACACGCACACGCACACGCACACGCACAAGCACACGCGCACAGCCTCACAAACGCGCGCAATCAGCAACGCATGGCGCTGCATGTGCCCGCGGCGCACGTGACACGTGACACTCTCGATTGGGGACTCTTGACTTTTGGTGTCGAGAAGCAATCTTGCAGCATGAGCAGGTAGGTGGTCAAGAGTCAAGAGCATACAGTGCTCACCACGCCTCACGCACACCACGCACACTCCTCCCTTCATACGCGTACGCGTACGCACACACCCCACACCCACACCCACACCCACTTCCATCACTCTCCAGCACTCCATTCAGCAGTTCAGCAAAGTCTCATCGTCTACACAAGCGCATGCCTTCCTCCACTCTCGCACGATGAACAGCGTCAAGATGGAAGAGGACAACGCTGGACAACTTGACAGCGCGAGTATAGCCGGTCCATCCACATCCACATCCACATCCACATCCACACTGCCGCCCATCAAGCGAAGATTCAAGCCTACGCTGCACCTCTCCGAGCAGCCCGTCGCTCCACCGGTGGATCAGCGCATCCTGGACGAAGCAGCAGCTCAAGCAGCCGCCTCTGCAGCCGGTTTCGAAGGATTTCGACGCACGCGACGCTTCAATCAGCGCAGAACGGTCGACTTTCACGCTTCTCAAAGATTATCTCGACTGGTGCGATCTACGCGCACGAATGCTAGAGCGGACAAGTGTCTGATGCCCAGCACGAATCACGTGGTGGACATTTTGCCGCCGGACATGTATGCGCTGGGCAATGGGTTTGCTGAAGAGGATGCGGTGGGCATGGCCGTCACCACGAATCTGGTGCACACCAGCACAAACAAGATTCGCTGTCCCGTCAATGTGGTGTGCTGGCAACCAGAAGGCAGGAGATTGCTTACAGGTTCCCAATCTGGCGAATTCACCTTGTGGAATGGATTGACCTTCAACTTCGAGACGATCTTTCAAGCTCACGATGCGGCTATTCGATCGGTGCAGTATTGCAAATCGGGCCAGTTTCTAATCTCTTCGGATCAGGGTGGTGTGATCAAGTACTTTCAATCCAACATGAACAACATCCAAGCCATACCTGCGCACAGGGAAGCCGTCAGGAGTCTCAGCTTCAGTCCAGACGATGCCAAGTTCGTCAGCGCTTCCGACGATTCCACCTTGAAGATTTGGGCCTTCGATGAGGCGAGGGAGGAGAAGGTGCTCAAGGGTCACGGATGGGATGCCAAGTGCGTAGCTTGGCATCCTTTCAAAGGTCTGCTCGTCAGCGGCGGCAAGGATAATCTGATCAAATTTTGGGATCCAAGGAGCGCGAATTGCTTGGGAACGTTTCACGCGCACAAGTCCACGGTGCAGCAAGTAGCTTGGAGCAATTTCGAAGCCAACATGGTGGCTAGCGCGAGTACGGATCAGACGGTGAAGCTGTACGATGTTCGCATGATGAAAGAGTACGCTTCGTTCAAGGGTCACCTCAAAGAAGCTTGTTCCCTCGCCTGGCATCCCTCTCAGCGACATTTGCTGGTATCGGGAGGTGGAGATGGTTCGCTGCTTTATTGGAGCACCCTATCCACCGACAACGTTCCAGCTTCATCTTCTCAAGCCATCTACGCGCAGGAACAAGCGCACGATTCGAACATTTGGTCCATCGCTTGGCACCCCTTGGGTCAGATTTTGGCTACTGGCTCCAACGACCACACTACCAGGTTCTGGGAACGATCTCGGCCGGAAGATGGAAGGCGAGAAGAGGCGGGCGGTGATGCGAGTGCGAGTGCGAGTGCTGCTGGAGCAGATAAGAAGGAAATGATGAAGAGGAAGGCTAGAAGCGGCGGGGAAGATTGGGATGGTGAGGCGTCGAATGAGGCGTGCGGGCGAAGGATTGATGAGGCTCCATTTCGCATGCTGATTATTTCTCCTTCCCCCCCACACACCCTCCTCCCACTTTCTTTTCTTTTGGCCTTGCTTGCAGACGATTTCATTCCCGGTCTTACCTCTGCTGCCAGGAGAGGAGGTGGAGGCGGCGGCGGCGGCGGCGGCGCGATGCACAACAACGCACCTCCATCGCACTTTTCTCAAAGTTTAGGTTTCAACCATCTTGCTCCACGCTCGGACGAATCCTACGTCGCTGGCGCTGCTGTTGGCGAACGATACGTGCCGCCTCCTCGAGAAGGTGGTGGGGCGTCGGGCGGAGGAGGTGCGGGACACTCTTATGGTTATGCTTCTGGTGCGAGCGCGGGTGCGGGGGCATACGCTTCCGATGCGACGTATCATCATCATCAACAGCAACAGCAACAACCCCTACCCGGATTCGCCCCTTCGAAGGTGTATGCAGGTTGGAACGACGGTACACCTCACGCAGCAGCGGGAGCGGGAGGCTACGGGACGCATGCGCACGGGTACGCGCAGACGCAAGCGCCTGCTGCTGCTCCTGCGCTGACCGGTGCTAATGCGGGCGTGACGTCAGGCAGCGGTTGGGGAGCCAGAGCTGCTGGAAATGCGTCAACGGGAGCGGGAGGTGCTAGGCAATGGTGAGGGCGGTCATTATGGAGGAGGAGGAGGAGACGAGAAATAGAAATAATGGTGATCGACCATGCGCACGCACGAGCTTGGCACGAGTTCGCCTGCTTGAGGGGGGCAACGTGAGGCGTAGAGGAACGTGTATGAGATGCGGAACACCAGTTCAAAAGAGAATCGGCGCGCTAAGCTGGGCAGACGGGCAAGCCAGCTGCGCAAGCTGGAGCAATTAAGCCAAGCTTTAGTCCTGGCCTGCCTGCCTGCCTGCTGGCCTGCAAACGAACCAAACGTGCTTGCGGGGCTCTCGAGATTGGCGAAACGAAAAACGAAAAACGAAAAAGAGAAAGAAAAGCCTTTTTGAGCGCCTGCGCGCCCGCCCGCCCGCCCGCTCGCCGGGTCCGAGCGATGCGCGGGGGGTCCGAGTTTCTCGCCCCTGCCCCCGGTCATTTGCGAGCACGCGGGGGATGTGGGGAATGAAGGATCAAAAGTGACGAGTTCGCTGTGAGTGTGAGTGTGAATGGGGATGATGCGGGGGGGAGAAGAAGCGCGTGGCAGTCACATTTAGTTGGCACAAGAGAGCAGCCAGCGCATAGTACTTTTGTTGTAAACCCGGGGTATACGAGTCCGAGGCGGGTGCAAAGTCAAGCGTAGTATTTGTCTTGCTGATACAGATTCAGATTCAGATTCAGATTCAGATTCTGATTCAGATTCTGATTCTGATTCTTGTGTTGAGCGAGCATATACATTCGAAGTCAAAAGTGCGAATTCCACGCATCGCATGTTTGTGATTGCGGCCGTAATTAACACGTACGACAATCGTGAATCTTGAATCGTGAATCAAGAATCTGCATGCCCCCGCGCGCGCGCGTGTCCACGTGACCGGTGCGAGCATGCGTGCGGGCTACTGCGCTTTTGAGAAATTTTGAGGAAGGCACGATCGATCGTGGTAACGAGTGGAGTGTGAGTATGAGTGGTGATCAGTGTGAGTGGTGAGTGGTGAGTGGTTAGTGGTGAGTGGTGAGTGGAGTCAAGTCACCGACCGCATTCACGATTTGTGAGTCGTGAGACTTGAGTCTGCTTCACCATCCATACACAGCGATACGCTCACGCAAGAAGCAGTCAGTAAGACACACAGACAGACAGACAGACGGACAGCGATTCTTGTCATTATCGGTGATCCGGCAGCTCAAGCGCCTCGTACAGGAAAAAGAATACAAAAACCGGGCGCAATTACACGTTGCCCCATCGTTGGCACCAGGCCATGTCACCTCACCCACAAGCCCACCTGGAGCTCTTGCGCTTCCTATCCGATTCCAACGCAACAGCGCGTCAAGTAGCTCTCTCTAACCTTGTAGGATTCTCATCATCATCTTCTTCCGCTGGCCAAGCAGCAGCAGCAGCGCGAGGCGCATCGAGAAGCTTGCTGATCGATAAGCACAAGGGATTGGATGGCGGGCCGCTCAGGGGAAGAGATGGGAGGGATGTGGATACGATTAGGGATCTCAAGAGGTTGTGCGAGGATATTCCCGTGAGTTGTTTGCAGTCAGCGGCAGAGGCGGTCGTAGAGAGCGAGCACAAGCAGTTGGCCTTGGCGTGGCGATGGAGCAGCGACATTCGCAAGCTTGCACACGCACACGCTCACGCTCACGCCCACGCCCACGCCCACGCCCACGCCCACGCTCACGCTCACGCACCCCCTAGGTGACAGCGCACGACGCATTCAGCGCCCTCATCAACCTGTCCGACAGTCTGCTCGTAGCCAGGCGCATCGCCGATCAAGCTTTCCTCACATTCCTCGTCTCCTACATATGCGTGAGTCTGCATCCTTGGCGGACTTTTCCCGCGTGCGCTGGTGGCCCTCCCTGACTCCATACGGCTCGTGCGCTCGCTCGCAGGATTCGGCGTCCATCTTGGCGGATCTAGCGTGCATGCTCCTCTCCAACCTCACAAAGCTGGAAAGCGTCTCTCTCCAACTGCTTTCCCTTCGCATCTCCTCTTCTCCCCTCACAGCTCAACCCGACGCATCCATCATGGCAGGTCTCAACGCCGATCCTTCTTCCCACACCTACGAGCAAGAAAAAGCAGCGGCGCAGCGAGCGGTCGAGAAGCTTGCTGGCGTGCAGATATCTGCGATAGGTGCGCTGTTGGATGCCTTTGAAGAGGGCGCAATGGTAAAGGCTACGAGCGGGACGGAAGAGATTAGGAGAAGAGCTCTGCTAGCTCAAAAGGCCAGCGCGGGCGGGGCGGAGCATGCTTCGATGGGAGATGACAACAAGAGGAGATCCAACTGTCACTTCTTATCCAGCGTCTTTGCTAATCTTACCATTGCGAGTATGCAGAGTGGGCGCTGGACCTCTTCGAACATGTACGAGCAGCTTGTTGATGCTCCCCTGCTCTCCCACCCTCCTTTATTCTCATTAGACACCTCGAGGTCGAGAATTCTTTGTAGCGCCCCTCGCATCTGCAGAGCCTGACGCAGCGAGCGATGGCAAAGTGCATGATCCCAGCTGGACATTGGCAGACTACCCGGTGGCCAGGATCATGGCATACACGGAGCACCCCGACCTGATCCGAAGGGGCGGAGCGATCAGCGCGCTCAAGTGAGTCTTGTGTGTGCGCGTGTGCGTTCCGGCTTTTTATCGGGGGCTTTTTCCAAAGCGCTTTCTGATCCATCGCAAACCTGCCTCTCCCTCTTCGCCCGGGGCACAGAAACATACTGTTTTTGCGCTCCTGCCACAAATTGCTACTGGCGCCTCCTCCGGCACGCGAAGGGGAGCCGAACGAGCTGGTAGCGGGTGCACTGCGTCGCGTTCAACGACCCTCCTCCCCACTCGACATTCTTCCTCACCTCCTCCTACCGCTATGTTCAGGCCAAGAACTAAGCAGCGTGGATTTGGAGGATCAAGAAGCATTGCCGGAAGCGTGTCAAATGTTGCCAGAGGAGCACGCTAGGGAAAAAGATGCGGCGCTCAGGGCTATGCTGATCGAGTGCCTGCTTTTGCTCTGCACGACGCTCTATGGCAGACAGTGCCTGAGGCAGAGGGGCGTCTATGTCGTCGTTAGAGCGGCCCATCTCAAAGAAACGGAGGAAAAGGTGCGTTGGCGAGCGAGCGAGCGCGCGCGGCCCGCGTGTCTTTTTCTTCGGTATGTGGGACTCGTTGCTCATTTTGCCCTCGCGCATCCCTCCCCATTTCCAAATCCACTTCTTCCCCCCCCCCCCCCCCTTCCTGCTTTCCGACCTACCTTTTTCATCTTTTTGTCTCTCACAGATTGCCGAATCAGTCGTTCGGCTTGTCAATATCCTTCAGAGGGACGAGAGCAGCGAGACGATGGTGGAGGAGGAGGAGGAGGCGGCGCAAGCGGCGGGTGCGAATGTGGATGTGGATGTGGGAGGAGGAGTCGAAGGGCAAAGGGATGAGAATGGAGAGACGGATGAGGATCTGATCATTGAGGAATTGTAAAGCCGAAGAAGGTTTGTTGTAGCGAAGCAATCGATTTTCACGCATCCGATCGAGCACCCTCGGCGCCCGATTCGTTGCTCCATCTCCCCATCTTCACCCGATGACAATGCTGGCGTTGTTGCTAGTGTGATGTGGGAGAGTTCTATGGAGTGCATGCATTAGCGACGTCCAGGGGGGTGGGTTGCGCGAAAGCAAGATGAATGGAATGGGGGGGAGCGGGATGCGTGCGAGGGTGCGAGTGTGCGAGGAGGGACTAGGGGGGAGTAATAGCAATGGAAGAGAGATGCAAAAGTCCTTGGAAGCTGAGGTTCGCAGGGATAAATCATGCGCGGCGGGGG